GAAAATGTGTTGGAACTAGAACTTGGAGAGTTTTTCCTTCTATACTAAGGGATTTGGATTTTTATCAAATAAGCACTGGGAAGTCAGTTTTCATTTTAATTTTTTAAAAGTAAATGCCAGGCACAGTGGCACACACCTGTAATCCCAGAGGCTTCGGAGGCTGAGACAGGAGGATCTCGAGTTCAAAGCCAGCCTCAGCAAAAGCAAGGTGCTAAGCAACTCAGTGAGACCCCGTCTCTAAATAAAATACAAAATAGGGCTGGGGGTGTGGCTCAGTGGCTGAGTGCCTCTGGGTTCAATCCCTGGTACCCCCAAAAATAAATAAATAAAAATAAATAAATAAAAGTAATATATGCACAGAGTGAAGTCTTCAACATATATAACCCCAATCTCCAGTCACCTAGTTCCCTTCCCAGAAGCATCTGCTGTAACCAATTTCTTGTGAATTCTTACAGACTGCCCATGGCTCATGTCTTTGCAAAAATACATGTAACTATATCTCCCCAGTAGGCCTTCAACATAAATATTGACATGATATATACATTGTCCTATACCTTGCTCATACTTAACTATAGACCTCAGATTTTTTTTTTATATACTGAGGATTGAACACAGGGGAGATTTACTACTGATCTACACCATGAGCCCTTTTTATCTTTTATTTCCAGACTGGCCTCCAACTGGAAGCTTTCCTGGGATTACAGATATCTGCCACCATGCCTGGCTACATCTCAGATGATTTTTTTTTTTTTTTTTTGGTACTGCTGGGGGATTGAACCCAGGGCTTTGTGCATGCTAGACAAGCACTCTACCAATGTAGCCATATCCCCAGCCCCCATCTCAGAGATTTTTAAGTGAAGCTCATCGTGTTCCATAGTCTGACTTTGCTGATGGACATTCGGCATGTCCAGTCTTTTACTACTTCACATAACGAAATGGTGAATATCTTTGTATTTAAGTCATCTTGTGCACATATCTATAAATGCAGGAACAAAGAAAGGGTTCAAATCAAACTTGCTTGGTTAAAGGGTATCCACATGTTGGATATTGGTAAATCTCACATGGAAGAATTCAATGCAGAGGGTTCTGGGTCAGGCTTATTTTAGGAAGTTTCTTTTGGAGGTGATGGGATGATGGGCAGGAGGGGAAGAGATGAATTTGAGGGGTGTTAAGATTAAACAGGGCAAGATATGATGAGGGCTGGAACAGAGCCCTTGTTGAGGAAGTGAAGGACAAAGTAGAAGAGGCAAGAATAACTGATTCAATGTGTCTATCTCAGAGAGAAATCAAAGACAGAGCTCCAGAGCCCCACAATAGGGATGGGTTAACCATGAGAGAGAATATGTAGCTTCAATCAGATTCTTTAAAAGTGGGAATGTGTCTGCTTAGTTAGAAAAGCAGAAAGCCCAAAAGATAGCAGGAAGTAGGCTGGATACTCAGAAACAAACAAAAAAAGAGGGTCTGGGGATGTAGCTGAGTGGTAGAGCACTTGCCCAGCATTTCAAACCAAAGCAAAAGAATAACGACAAGAAAAACTTAGAGGGTCTTTCTGATGTCCTATAGGTGGGTTGATCAGACCCGGTGTAGTCACAAAGAAAGAGGTTAAGAGCATGTGTTTGGAGTCTTCAAGTTTGGAAATAGTTTTTGAGTTGTGTTAGTTCAGCTTTTCGCTGGAACCAACAGTCATGGAATTTCAGCAGCTTAACACAATAGAAGATGATTTCCAAACTCACCTCACTGTCCAAAGCAGGTTGACAAAAAGGGGGTTCTGCTCAAAGCAGCCACTGCTGAAAGTCATAGATGTTTTTCCATACCCAGGTACTTCTCCTCTTTGAGGTCCTCAGAATCCGCTCCATGCTATTATTGAATAGGAAAAGAGAGGACTGTGGATGAACATGATTTGTGGACCAGAACTGGAAATAACATTTATTACTTCCATCTACTTTCTACTGACTAGAATTGAGTCACTGTTGGATGCAGCAAGGGAAATTGTCTTGCTGTATGCCCCAGAGGAAAAGGGAAACGCCTGATGAACAACTGGAAGAACTCTGCCTCCAAACCCGTGTCTTCCTGGCAAGTTATTTACCAGCTCAGGGTCTCAGTTCTCACATCTGTAAAATGGGTATCATTACCACATTGGTGTAATTTTTGTGAGGATTAGATGAGACCACGTATGTCATCTGCTTAACCTGGCATCTGTGGATGAATACACTATAGTGAACACCTATGCAAGTTCACAGTGTGCACTCTCTGGCTGTGACCCTATGAGAGCAATTATGGTGGCTTTCCCTGTTCTCTGCTGGCTCTAAGTCTATGCAGACAGAGGAAAGCTCTGTTTGTTTATGACTGACCTGGATCATTCCGGCCCCAAAGTAGATTTCTTTTCTTGAAATAAATCATTTGGTTTGGCTAACTCCACAGATAAAATTCATGAGATTATTTCCAAATCTCACTCTGCTGGGTCCATGTAGACACAGCCGCAGCCTCTGCCAGACAGCTCGGCTCACGGCATATGCGGGCCGAGAAGGATTCCTGTTCCTTCTTTCATGTTATTCCCACACTTCAGAAGTCTGGAGGGAAGCTGGATGTTTGCTGTTCTGGGATCATTTGAAGGCGGGCATGCAAAGAGTTCCGAGTCACTTTTAAGTCTGCCCGTAGGAAATCTTTCTTGGCAACCAGACAACTAGAATTAGTTATTAAAGGCATGTCAGATGAATAAAGACACCTCTGTGAGGAAAACCGCAAGAGCAGTTACTTTTTCTAATATGAATGGGAGGCTAATATCAAATCACCTTTAATTTTCCACTCTTTCTTGGCTGTTTCGATGGGAGGTCAAATCTAATAATACAGATACAAGGGAAAACCATTTCTGTTTTCATCTATCACAGTATATATGCTCACTGCAGATGAGTGTCTTAAAGCCAGGGTCTGGAATTTAAATGAGTACCTGCACACGACAAGGCTGTTTCCTCCGGGAACCTTCTACTGGATGCCAAGCCCGTGTTGCCCTCACAGGCTGCGAGCTGCTGATCCATGAAACACAATAAAGCCTGGTCTTGTCGATAAGCCACAGCCCGCAGAGCCCAGGCCACAGCATTTGCTGGAAGGCAAGGATGACCATGCAGACCCAGCCTTCCTGTTCCATAGACCAGGGGAGAAAAGGGATGTGCAGGTGTTGTGAAGGCACCAACCTGCTTTCCAGATTTGAGTCTCTAAAGACCCAGGGAACTCTCTTTTCCATGTATCTTATAGTTATGGTCACTGTGGATAGATTTTCAAACAGAGGGAGCTGGTGAAAACCAGGAAGTGCTGTACAGTGGTTAGGAAGTTCCAGAGTTGGGCAACACTGCCCCAGTGCTGCTGTTTTGTTGTTAATGGGCACTGCGCTGGATTTCTCAGGCCTTAATATTCCTCATCTATAGAGTGGTGATAACACATTCTCACATGGTTCTTGTTGAGGATTAAAGAGCTGATTTTTTTTTCCTCTTAATTTTCAATGCTGGGGATTGAACCCAGGGTCTCACACACGCTAGACTAGTGTTCTACCACTGAGATATATCCCCAACCCTAAATGAGCTAATTCTTATAAGACAGCCTTAGAAGAAATGTTTAGCTTGAGTAAGCTCTTGAATGTTGGCAATCCTTGCTAGTGATATCTATAATAACATAATTGTCCAGTGGAGAAAGAGATTCATGAGAGATGGATTTTATGCGTGGGTGAGTCATACAAGCTATAGAGATTTCATATGGAAGGGGATTTGATTGGTTCAGAGAAACGAATTGGGCTCTGTAAGACACAGCCACTTTGGAAGCTGTCCTGTTGAGTAGATACAACTTGAGTCTTCGTGGTCAAATGGTGAAGTTGCTTCTACACAGGAGTCCTCCTGGATAGACAAATCCATCTTCTGGAAGCAGAGGTGTGCATGGAGGATCAAAAATATAGACAGCATTTGTTTTCCTTGACTCAAGCTGCTAGAACAGAATACCATAGACTTTGTGGCTTAAACAACATTGATTTCTCACAATTCTGGAAGTTGGGAAGTCCAAGACCAAGGTGCTGACAGATTCAGTGTCTGATGAAGGTCCTGGTTTGCCATCTTCTCAATGTATCCTCATATACCTATAGTCTTTTCTTTTTGTAAGAATGCTAATCCCATTAGGGGACTCCATATTTATGACTGTATCTATATCTGATTATCCCTCAACAGCTCTACCTTCTAATATCATCTCATTGGGGGTTAAAATTTCAACCTACGACTTTTGTAGAGAAACCAAGCAAGCAATTCATCGCACCATTTAACTAATCAAACTCACTCCAGCTTCCTGGTATTGAGATCCCTGGGGGAGCAGGGGGCCCTGTGGGACAGGGCCCCTCTCAAGGCTTGGCTTTCTTCTATCATGTATTTTGTTTGTTTAAAAGGTTTTAGTGCCATTTCTTAAACTACTGTTAAGGGCTGAGGGTCATTTTGCAGCATTTGTCTCCAGATCCAGGTGTAAGTCAACCTTGCGGCCTTCATGGCCATGGTCCTCAATTTCAGGTGACCACTTCTTCTTCCTAATAGCTCAGGACAGGGCATGGCTCTCCTTCTTCCTTTCCATCGTCATCAGCATGCATCTTCCTGGGTTCTTTGACCCACACCATGCAGCTGCTCTGGGGTTTTGGGTTCATTGTGACATTGGCCATGCATCATGGTGTCTTGGTTTATAGGTACAAGTTGAGGGATGAGCAAGAAACCTAGAATACTCTCTGGCAACGATTAGCAATCAGGACAAACAGCCATGGAATTCCAAAGAGCTTTTAACTCTTTCTGCCTTTCTAACCTCCATATTTGATAGTTTTAGATGTAATCAGTGTTTCATTAACTGACCGCTCAACAAGGTTGTGGCCTAAATTATGTGCATCATTTTCTTGATCAGGACTTCAGGGTACAAATTAAACAAGAAGTAACTTTTTTTTTTTTTTTTTTTGCTTGTTTGTATTCCTTTCTGGCTTCAGGACCTATTCTCAGGTGACTGATTTATCTAAGTAGAACCTAAATGAAGACAGAAAAGGAAAACTTCCCTCAGATACTTGGATATGGCCATCCATTTGAATGTTTGCCTTTGGGAATCAAAGCAAGCAGTCAGTCGGACTTTTCTTCCCAACTACTTGTTCTTCTCTAGAAACACAGCCTAAGGCCTTTGATAGAGGAGGAAGCCTGTGTGTGAACAAGTGCTGGTGACACAGAAAGTGCAATAGCAGAAGTGCCTGGGGACTGCTCTGTGCCAGGTGCGTTATTCCATTGACTCCTTGTCACAACCCAAGGGGGCAAGTGATATGATTATTTTTATTACTTATGAGGAAACTGAGGTTAAAAAATAAGAGAGTTTGTCCAAGCACCAGACCATGTACGAATAAGACCTGCGACTCCAGGCTGGTCCGTCGGTCTCCAAAGACTCAACTCTTTTCACTTTGAGAAGGGAAGTGGGAGGAAAGAGAGAAAACACATGGGTCTTAAAAATTTTGGAAAAAAATATGTCATGAAGTCCGAGCCCCGTGCTAAATGCACCCTTAACTTGCACGCACACGTTGAGGTCTGGGAGTTGGCTCTCCTGCCAGCCCCATCCCCTTCTTTCTTTCCTTCTTTTTCTTGCTTGCTGGAGGCTGACCTCCTGTGACTGTCCAGATGCTGGAGTTTGTATCATGTCCATCTGAAACTGGGCTCTTAACAGTGGTGATGGAGAGGCCAGGATCCCACTTGGAGGACTCTGTCTGGATAGAAGAGACCTCAGTCCTGAGCTGGGTCACCTGTGGAAGGATGACCAGGGCCCAGGGGTGCAGCAGGGCAGGAGGGGATGCTTTGCTCCCAGCAGCTTCGGTTCTGAGGCCACACCACTTCTATCCTCTCTTCAACAGCTTGCTCCTGGTGAGTGGCAGTCTGGACTCCCAGCTACAGGTGATTCCCCCTCGATGTTCAAGCAGGGCTCTGCATGAGTCATCCAGATATAGCTATGACAATGTGGATTTCGTGGCGATCACAGGCGAACCCATGGGAGAAAGTCTCCTTCCTCTTCTTCTGGCCCACACCCCTCTTCCCAGGACAGCTCCCTGTCACTCAGGAGGAGCCGGCTGCATCCCTGGTCTTGGGACCCTCTGCAGAACCTCCCGCCTGAGCACTCCTGAGCGAAGAGCCAAGCCAGGGTAAGCCTGTGCATATGAGGCCTCAATTTCAGATTAGATTCACAAATTTAATTTCCTATTCCTTAATTTAATTCTGCATTTTAGTTTTGTTTTTATTATTTACATGGGTTCCCTTTAATGATTCCAAATTGCTGCTGCCCTCTAGCAGTATTTTGTCTTAGGTTAACTTCTTGAAAACCGATCGGTGTTGGAGTTTATTCCGCACTGGGTTTAGTTATTTTCTGAAACGAAACACAATTAAATTAGAATAATGAACATGCTCTTTAGAGGATTAATTCATAATAAGCAGGCCATGTGCTACAGCTCACAGAAGAAAAGGCATGAGGATCGAAAGCTGTTTTTTCTGCCTAAATATGAAAAGTACATTCTGCAGAGCAGAACAAATCAGCTAATGACATCCAGAGCGCGGGCCAGCCCCAGAGCGGCACGGAGCTGGCATCTCGAGTTAGCGCAATCCCCGCCCTCGCTTCTGCCTACCTTCCCTCCCTGAGAAGACTGGCAGCCGGCAATTTCTCTTTCTCCTCAGTACAGCTGACACGGGCACTGTGGGCTTCCTAAATTCAACCTTGCCGAGCTCCGAACTCACAAGCTTCATCCTCAGAGCTCCCTGCAGCCCATCATTCATTCATCCTTCCTTCATCCCAGGAATGATTCCTAGGTCCCGTTAGGTACCAGCATCCAGGGGCACACCCTCGAGATACATCAGTGAAGAAAGCACGAGACCCTGCTCTCCAGGAGACTGCATGCTAGCAGGCAGAGACAGACTGAAACACTAGAATACGTACATGACACAGCACACTGGCAGGGGATGAGCACTAGGGAGCAAGGGCAGTCGGAGGGGTGTATGTGTGTGTGCACGTGTGCGATTTGTAATTAAATATGATGGGGGCAGGGTAGGCTCATGGGGAAGATGTCCATTGAGCACAGACTTGAAGGAGAGAAAGTGAATCACTGTCAAGAGCAAGACAGGGTAAGAGTATCCCAGAAGAAAGGACTCCAGCAAGAGTCCGCATAGGTAGAAAAGGAGGCTGTAGGGGACAAGGGGACCAGGTCAAGCAGGCCTCAGCTTCTGCTCTGAGTGAATGGTAGTCTCGGTGGGATTTTTTTTTTAATATTTATTTTTTAGTTATAGGGGTACACAATATCTTTATTTTATTTTTATGTGGTGCTGAGGATGGAACCCAGTGCCTCACGCATGCCAGGCAAGCGCACTAGGTGAGTACTTTACCTTTGAACCACAACCCCAGCCCTCGGTGGGATTTTAAGGGACCTCTGGCTACTGGCTGAGAATAAACTTTAGGGGAGGAGGAGGGGTAGGGTGGATGGAATCTGGGAAAATTGTCAGGAGGCTAAGAGGTTAGGCTCCAAAACCATAGCCCCATATTCCCTCATACCATGTCCGCTGGACCTCCCAGGCCCAGGGGCTTGGAGCCTCCTTGGTTCCCTGCCTTCCAGAGGAACCAGAGACCATAATTCTCTGTGTGGCCTCAGAGCCCCCTCCACAGCCCCCTCCCACCCCTCCCACTGACCCATGGACCAGAAATCTGGATCTTGCAATGGGAAGGGGCTTGCAGGTAGGGGACAGCTCTGCACTGTCCCTTTGGTTGATTTAGGCCTCTCAGAAGGAGTCATCCTCTCAGCCAGGTACCTGACCAGGTACATGAGAAGGCTCCTGCTGTGCAGCTGCCACAGAGACAGGACAGATCAAAGCAGGAGCGAACCAACATCTGTGGCAACCATGGCAAGGAAGGGGTACAAACCGAATGAATAAGTAAGCAGATGAATGATTGCTGGGTGAGAGGGATGAATGATTAATGAATAAATGAATGATTGATGAAAAAACGAACGTACAGCCTTCGGCCAGCTCCTCCTCTCTGCTTTTTGGTATATTTTATCTTGGGAACCAAGAAATCAAGATCCTCCCATGGCCCTCACCTCCGGAATTTCCCTCTGTACCTCTGTAGTTGGGATCACCCCCATCTGACCCTGGAGGTGGAGGAAGCTTTGGGTTAGAAGCAAGGGTTTGAGTTGCACAGGGTTTGCTGGAGAAGGGAGCAAGAAAAGGGTCCTGGGGCAGCATGTAGGTTCTGAGGGAGGAGAGCTCCCAGGATCTGGGAGAAGAAAAGGGTATAAGGGGAAGAGAGGAAGAGGAAAGATTTGGTTTTTACTTTCTTTCTTTCTTTTTTCTTTTTTTTTTTTTGTGTGTGTGTGTGTGTGAGAATATTGTGAGTTGGACCTGGGAGTTCTTTACAACTGAGCTACATCCCCAGTCCTTTCTGTTTTTTGTTTTGAGACAGGATCTTGCTAAGTTGCTAAGGCTGGCCTTGAACTTGTGATCCTCCTGCCTTAGTCACCCTAGTCTCTGGGATTGTAGGGGTACATCAGGGCACCCAGACTACATTGTACTTTCTTAGTCCTGCACTGGTCATTCAGCAGATGCTAGGCCTCTAGGCCTGATAGGATAGACAGTCCCCCACAAGTCAGCATTTGAATGTGTTATCCCCCCAAAGCAGGAAGATTTTATTGACGGTGATTGCAAGAAACTTCTTTGATGGGGCGGGTTGAGGATGACTTCAGCTCAAGGCCAGGCAACCCCTCCTTTGTGTTATCACCATGCTGACACTGGATGTGTCCTAATTTTCAGCAGCATGTCTTTAAAGTGTGGCCAGATTCTGGTGCCTTTCAGGGGGAGAAGCACCCTACTAGGTGAGGGTTTGAGGAAGCAGTGTCTGGAGGCCCTGAGGTTCAGAGCTATGCTCAATTTTGGAGGAGAATATTGCACTGGGATTCCCATGGAATCTAGGCTGTGGGTTTGAAGTCAAAAGACCATTCAGAAGAGTATGTATGTACCTTCTACTTGAGCAGACAATTGTTATCAAAATGGCTTCTACTTATGGAGAGTTCACTAAGGGCTAGATGTTGGGCTAAGAGCTGTGTATGCTTTATGTCATTTACTTCTCTCATCAAGCCCTAGGATGTAGGTATTTTAACCCTTATTTTATAGATAAAACGGAGGCACAGAAGGTTATGTAACTTGCTGGTGAGTGGTGGAACCAGAATTGAACTCAGGTGGATTGTGGCCACTTGGAGTTGGAATCTAAAGGAACTTCTCCTGGAAGCCTCTTCTAACAACTTCCCTGATCTTTTTCCCCCCCGTATAACATGGTGGTTCTTAACCCTTTGGTGGGGGAGCTGCAGACCTCTTTGAGAGAGTGATAAATGAGCAGAGCCTTTTCCTAGAAAATGCACATTTTGTACCAGTGCGTTCCCTAGGCAGTCTCAGGGGTCCATAGGCCCTCCTGTGTTCTGTTTGAGGCATTCACTTTCTGCAGTAACCGTTTTCCTTTCTCATCACCCAAGGGCACAGGGCAACCCCCAGGGCCTCAGACATCACCCTGATGGGGAATGGAATCAGACAGGGCAGGTTAATCAATGAAAGCAAGGCCTGCTCCTTCCATAATTGCATTCCTGCCTTTTCATCCTAACAGCCAGCACTTAGGATAATTGCATTCCAATAAGGCTCCCAGGTCTGGGGCCTCTGGGGCCAGCCCTGGAACCTGTTGACATGCCATCTGCTTCCAGAGGGGTGGGTTCTGGAGACCAAGGCGGCCTTTTAAAATTCTTCTTTGTTGTCTTTGCTACAAGAGAGACAAAGGACCCTGTCACAGATCTTGTCCAAAATCCTACTACCTTCACCACCCACATCATCCCTGGAGCCAAGCCTCAGTCCTGGGCTGTCTATCTGAAGTCACAACAGCAGCACCTGTTATTCCAAGTGGCTGACCTCTGGAAAGAGTTGGCTTTGGAGCAGGGTAGCTGCTATAGGGCTTGGCAGGGCAGAACCAGCTCAGGGGCAAAGACTCAGAGGCTTGGGAACGGTCTGGGATGGGTATTGTGCTGTCTCCAAACACCATCAGCTCCATTCATTTATCCATAAGATTTATTGGAACCTCCCCCAAAGGGCTCCTACTCTCTGCAAAGAAAACCCACCATGCAAGGAAGTAGGGAATCCCCCACAAGAAACAGGGGTTTTCATGAATCCAGAGAGTCATATTTCCAGAAATATAACTTCCTCTCAAGAAAGCTCATGCGTTCTCCAGGCACAGTGAAGTCTGCACAATTAACAGAAAAAGTGCAGGGTTCACGGTGATTTGAGTTTCACTGTTTCCCAAATAGAGATGGTTCCTCTGCTCACCCCCACCCAAGGAATGAGGTATAAAATGGAGAGGTCTGGTGTTTGTTATATGACTTGCAGATGCCCCCTCCCCCACCACAACCCTGGACAGCTTCTCTTCTCTAAGGAAAAGTTTCCTCCGGGACTCTTTGACCTCTTGGGATTGAGCCCCAAGGGTCCCTCTGCAAACCTGTCTCCCTGCATCCCCAGGGCTGAGGGTTGGTTCACTCATCCCTGTTGAAGTCCTTGCCTGGAGGAAATGGATTGTTTCAGAATGGGATCTTTCTGGCTGCAAGAGGGAGAAGGGATGGAGATCATCCTGCAAAGCATGAAGAATATGGTTGGGTGGTTAATCCCCCCTCCAACAAGATGATCCCTGCGGGTGATCTGTGGTTGAGCAGAAAGAGTATCGATTTTCAGGAAGGCAGCCGGGGCGGCTGAATCCTGGCTCTGTCAATCACGGTTGCTGTTGGCCAAGTCATTTCACTTCCCTGAATCTCAGTTTCCTCCAGTGGGGGAGTCGGGGTTGGGGGTGGGGATAAGATGTACTTTACAAGATTAAAACTGAAGAGAGAACGTGAGTGGCATTTGATGAGTGGTTTCTGTCCTTTTCCTGCAGGAAGACACTGATTTCTAGAGCACTTGGCAGACATCAGAAGGTACTTTTGGTTGTTCTTTGTCAGTGCTCTCCAGTCCTGCACCACCACCCCATCCATTCGTTCGTCCTTTTCCTGACCTCCCCTTCTTCCTACAGCAGATAGCCTAAGCTCCGAAGCTTCCCGCTTTCCTCAGCAGAGTTTGCTCTCACTAACAGGTTTAGTGTCCC